TACCTTTTCATCTTTTATTGATGCCTTGGTCTGAAGCGCTTGATCGAGTGTTTCCTCCTTCTTCTTACGTTGCTTGTGTGCCTCGAGAGAACCGGCGAGCTCATCGACTGTAAACTTCGCTAGGTTCTTTGACTTTTTTATCGCACATACAACATTCTCGAAGTTGTCGGTTAACAACCTTAAGATCTTCTCCACAACCTGCGTCTCGGGTAACATTTCTCCATTTCGATTTAGTTGGTTTTCCACAGTCTGTACGCGCGTAATGTAGTCAGATACATTTTCTAACTCCTTCATCTTTATGCTCTCCAACTCGCCACGCAGAGTTTGGAGACACACTTGCTTGACTCGGTCGGTTCCTTTAAACACTTTTTTCTAAAGTGTCTCATGCTTCTTTTAAAGTAGTTGCCCTTGCAATCTTCTCAAAGCCCGACTCGTCAACAACCCGGAACAGCATATATAATGCTGCCTTATTCTTTGATGGTAATTCTTTTAACGCCTTGTTTTAAGCTGCCGTATAACCCGTGGTATCCTTCAGTTGTTCGAAACCTTCTTCAACCACCTCCCATGCGTCTTGAGAACTAAGAAAAGCTTTCATTTGGATGTTCCAATTCTCGTAGTTCGTCTTCGTTAATCGTGGTAGCGGCATTTGACCCATCATATTCGTCATAGGCTCTGATACCAATTTGTTGAAAATAACACTCGCTCTAATACCAATTTGTTAAAATAAAACTCGCTCTGATACCAATTTGTTAAAACAACACTCACTAATTTGTGTAGTAATCCCACACTCACTAATAATCGAATGTTGACTTCTGGCAATTGAGAGGAAAACGTCGACAGAGTAAAAATAGTTCGAAGAAAAACTTCTTCGAAGAAAAAATATCGAAAAAGAAAAGGAGAGAGAGAGAGATATTTGTTGAAGACCCGATGATTTATTTCTCATTCAGTTGAATATTTAAATAACAAATTTAATCCTAAAAATGGAAAGTTGTGGGTAACTTAACTAAAGGCTTCCACTCGACTCGACCTGGACTTCCCACTCATCTAATTGTGTGGGTTTAACAGAGAAGATGGTTACCTAAAAACTAGGAATAAATTTCAACTTAGGGATTTACTTAACAATCTCCTTCTAAAGCCCTATGGTATCTGTCTACCATATTGTTTTAACTCCGATTTGAGTCCTATGGCTCGGTGTCCTGACGGCATGTTCTTCAGACTCCATGTTCGAGCTCGCGCGCCTCCAGTCTAGGTGGTTCACCTCCTCCCAGTAGGTCTTCCATCCTCCAGTACCTGGCCACCAGATCATCATCGTGATTGGCATCTAGCGTCCAATCCGCAGTCCGTGGTTTTGCAAACTCCACTGGTTTAAGGGGTGCAGCCGGAGTTATGGTTGGGGTTGGCGTAGGCGTGCCCGATGTAGCTGCTGGTGGCAGTGACAGTTCTTGATTCTGCGCTCCTCCTTCTCCAGGCTCAGTGACGAGGTACTCCACTGTGAATTGATTTGGGTTTCTATCTGACTCGGTCACGTTGCTTCACTACCAGAAGGTGCTTTCATCAAAGATGACGTCGCGCGGCACGTGAGCTCGCCCCTCCGCAGGATCATAGAGCCTATATTGCCTTGCTCTCGTGTTCGTAGCCGATGAAGATGACCTTCAGCCCTCCAGGGTCGAGCTTGGCGAGGTGAGGACGCGCTACCTTCATGTATGCGACGCAGCTGAACACTCGAAGATGATGTACCGCTGGCTTCTTGTTGTACCAGGCCTCATGTGGCGTCTTCCCATCCAGGCTTCGAGTTGGCGACCGATTGAGGACATAGACGGCCGTCATTACCGTCTCTCCCCAGAATCTCCCAGGCATCCCGGTCGTCATTAGCAATGACCTCACTGTCCCAATGATGGTCTGATTTTTGAGCTCCACCACTTTGTTCTGTTGGGGGGAGTAAGGCACCGTTAGGTGCCGTTGTATGCCGAACTCGTCGCAGTACTTACCGAGACTTGTTGAGGTGAGTTCTCTGCCTCGGTTCATGCATAGCATTCACATTTTCTTCCCACATTTGGCCTCCGCTCGTGCCTGAATGTGCTTAATCACCTTTGTCATCTCACTTTTCGCTTTACAGCAGGATTAGCCACATGAAGCGGCTTTTTTCATCGACCAGCAAGAGGAAAAAGGTCTTGTCGCCTAGGGTCGCTGGCTTGATGGGCCCACAGCTATAGCCGTGCACGAGCTTCAATGGCTCACTAATGCAGTAGGATTCCTGAGACAGAAAGGGGGTGCGCCTCTGTTTACCGATGAGGCACCAGTCGCACAGCTTGTTCACGCCTTTGATTGCCGAAAAACCGTGCACCATCTCCTCCTTGTGTAATTTTTGTAGAGCAGGAAAGTTGAGGTACCCGTACCTTGCGTGCCACCTCCAAGATACCTCTTTGGTCCTAGCTGAGAGGTTAACTGGTTGCTCTATCTCCAACTCCAGGATGTAAAGGCGGTTTGTCATGCACCGAACTTGCGTGAGCAGTCGTCGTCGATCATCGCGGATCCTAAGTAGCCCGCGCTCGATGGAAATATGGTAGCTGGCCTCATCAAGTTGACCCAGGCTCACAAGGTGGTTAGCCTTGAGCCTCGGGATGAAGTAGACGTTGGTCCATTTGTGGTGCTCGCCTCCCTTGTCGACGAACAGGATGGTGTCATGCCCTTCGATCTCGACGACAGAGCCGTCGCTGAATTTTACCGTCCCGCGAATCCCCGAGTCAAGCTCGAAAAACGTAGACTTCACCCCGATCATATGGTTTGTTGCCCCCGTGTCGAGAACCCATCGTTGGTGCTCTTGTTGCACGCCTCTTTCACCGATTTGAGCGAACACTCGCTCCTCCTTCAGTTGAATTGGCTCTCCAGCCGATGCCTTTGTTATGCCCAACTGGAGCTCTTCCTTGGGTTCAACGCTCACTGGAGTAGTTATGTCATCGTTGATTACCTCCATGGATTTCGAACTGAAATTAGGGACGTCAGGTAGGACTGATGCACTCACCATGAAAAGAGTCGGCTCGTCCTCATTGGATTGAGCCACATGGGTCTTCTCAGTCGTCTCCTTTTTCTTGAGCTTTCTCCAGCAATTCTTGCTCAGGTGACTTCTCTTCCCACAGTACGAACACTAAATCGGCCCACTATCAGTGTACTCCTTCTTTTGATCGCCTTCTTTCCCGTGCGTGCGCCCACGAGATTTCTATGGCTTCTTATCGCCTTTGCTACTGGAGGTCCCATTGCTCTCGTCGGTGTTGTCGCGGAGCTTTAGGCATGCAAACTATTCCCTCCTCAGTGAGGAGTAGACGACCCTCCTTGTCACCTCTTCCACCGTTAGGTCGTTCACGTCAAGTAATGTCTCGATTGAAATCGCGACTTGCTCGAGGTGATCGGGGACGACTTGCAGCATCTTCTTTATGGTTTCTGTCTCGCTGATGCTCCCACCGAGAGTGGTGATGCTGTTGGCGAGCCCCATGATCCACATTGAAAAATCATCGACGAATTCTCCGTCCTTAAAGCGGATCTCCAAGATCTTCTTCTGCAGCTGCTCGATGTTGGTGCGCTTGGTAGAGAGAGACGTCAACATCTCTGAGGGCATAGACCATAAATATGGCGGCAAACGCCAGCCGATCCTCCCGGTACTCGATCGTTTCTCCTTCTTCTGGGATCTACGGCGTGCCACAACCCTAGCGCTTGTAGGTTGACGCACATCAACAAGGCCCACTCATTGTAGTTGGACCTCATCAACATCGGGTACTGCCCCTAAGACCTGTGTGTTATTAGGTCGACGCTCTAACCACTTGAGCTATTCAACTTAGTTGTTGATAAAGTTGGCTTCTCTGCAATGATATACCACCAGTGGATTAAACCAGGCTCTGATACCACTTGTTGAATTCTGGCAATTGAGAGGAAAACGTCGACAGAGTAAAAACCGGAGGAAGGAAAACTTCTTCAAAGAAAAAATAACGGAAAAGAAAAGGGAAGAGATATTTGCTGAAGACCCGATGGTTTATTTCTCATTAAGTTGAATATTTAAATAACAAATTTAATCCAAAAAATGGAGAGTAGTGGGTAACTTAACTAATTGTGTGGGTTTAACCGTAAAGATGGTTACCTAAAAACTAGGAATGAATTCCAACCTAGAGATTTACTTAACATCGAACGCTCCGATACCGCTTTGCTAAAGTACTACTCGCATACTTGTGAAGAAGATGACGAGAGGGGAGAGACAAGGAGGCAAAGAATTCTGAAAAACATTTTTTCTATTACACTACACTGTACTTAAAAGAAGACAATTTCTCTTGCTCTTTTGCTCTTCTTGCTCACGTTGCTTTGCTTTTACAATGGAAAACAAACCCATTTATAAGCTTTCTAAACACTAAATATGGCTATCCGATCAAATCCACTATTTTCTAAAATAAATATTGGCCTTTTATTTTTTCAACCGTTTTTCTTTCATTCTTGTTAAATCATCAATAAAAATCATATAATAAAGATTACCATTTAATGAAGGTGTTCACTGAGGACCACAAAGATCAGTATGAACCAGCTGCAAATTTTTCGAGGCTCTCCATGCCTGTTTAGGAAAGAGTTGTCTATGTTGCTTCCCAAAATTACAAGCATGGCAAGGAGGCATGTCATCATCAATGTCAGCGAGTCTTTCTACCAGTTTGTTTGACTACATCTGAAGCAAACCTTGATGATGAAAGTGCCCAAGTCTTTGTGTCAAATCTCAGTGGCACTAGTTATGTATATAAAGGTCATCTACTCTTTCTCCATTGGATTTAGAGCAAAACTTTTTCATTTCATTTTGACATTAAATAAGTCTTTGCCACTAGCATCTTTGATCCAGCACTACTTATTCTCAAAACACACTTTATAGCCTCTATTAAGTAACTAGCCAACATTTAAGAGATTTTGATCAATTTTAGGTACAAATAAAACATCTAGAATAAATTTGGTACATTCATAACTTGTTCTAGCTACTATGTCTTTTCCCTTGACTTCCAAGTATTCCCATTGCCAGTCCTCACTCTCTTGACTTTAGTGACTCTTAATTCCTCAAAAAACTCCTTGTCATATATCATATGATTTGTCGACCCACTGTCAATCAACCAGCTCTCCCTTGATTCTTTGCCTGAGAAACAAGTGACCACAAACAATTGATCTTCTTCTTCTTGATCAACTACTTGTGCATCTACTTCTTTCATCTGTCCTTTGACTTTGCAGATCATAGTTTCATGTCCAAGTTGATTGCATTTCGAGCATTTGGCGTCAGGTCTTCTCCAACACTTGTATGGTGGATGATCTTTCTTCTCACAATGACGGCAAGGTGGATAGGATTTTTTAAAACCTCCTCCTTTTGTCTTCTGATAATTGGCAGATGAATCTTCATTCGTCGATTCGTTTTTGAAAATTGTCTTGTTCTTATACATGTTGTTGTCTTGATGATTAACAGGTAAGACACCTTCAATCACCCCTTCTTGGCTCATAGAGCTCCTTTGATCTTGTGCTTGTAAAGCATTCAAGAGCTCTATAAGAGAAATTTTTTACAAGTCTTTGGTGTTCTCCAGAGTAGTAATGGTGGCTTCAAACTTCTCTGGAATAGTGACCAGCAGCTTTTCAACGATCCTGGAATCATTTAACATACAACCAAGCAATCTCACCTTGTTGGCAATGCTAGGAAGTCTGTCAAAGTACTCTTTCACTGATTTAGACTCCTTCATCTTCTGCAACTCGAAATCCTTAATCAAATTCAAGACTCTCATTCCACGAATCCTCTCATCTTCTTCATATTCAGCCTTGAGTTAATCCCAGATTTTTCTTTGCTGTTTTGAGGACATTATTCGCATGAAGATCATTTGAGATACAGCTGCAAATAGGCAAGCTTTTGCCTCTGATTTTCTTGTCTTCTTTTCCTTCTATACTTTGATTTGTGCTACAGTGGGATTTGCTGGAAGTGGAAGGACCTCGTAATCCTCTTCTATTGCTTCCCAAAGATCCAAAGCCTCTAGATAGGTCTTCATACGAACTGCCCACATTTGATAATTGTCTCCATCGAAGACTGGTGGTGCAATAGCTAAAAAACTGGATTCTCCTCCCATTTTGATCTCATAGATCCCTTAAGAACACAGCTCTGATACAAATTTATTAGTGAAAGAGTGAGTGATTGAATGGTTTATGAGAAAATTATATTATGAAGAGCAAAAAACGCTCTATATATAGAGAGAATATAAAAAGATATTAAAAAATCTACCTAAGAATTTGCAGTAAATCTGGTAACAAACAGTAAATCAACTCCTAATTAAAAGAAGATTTAATCAGATACTAATTGACAACAATCTAAACAAACAAGTGATCTTTAACAATTGTGTTTAGAAAGGTAAAGAGGATAAAATGTATAGGTTAAAGAAAACTCTAGATGCTTCGAAGCAAGCTTCGAGGTCATGGTACAGTTACATTGATTCTCATTTGAGAAAGATGGGATTCATTAAATATCCATATGAACACATTAGCTATATGTAAAGACTAAAAAGGGAGGTAACATTCTTATTTTTTGTCTACATGTTAGCTGATTTAGTATTTTCAGGCAATAATAAAAAAAAGTTTGAAGTTTTAAAAAAAAAAAAAAAGCATGAAGAAGAAATTTGAAATGACAGATTTTAGTTTCATGAGATATTTTCTTGGAGTAGAAGTTACTCAAATGGTAGCTCGCAGTTTTATCTGTTAGAAAAAGTATGCTCAAGAGGTATTTGAAAGGTTTAAAATGGATGAGTGCATTTGGAACTCCATTAAAATTGGGTTTGAAGCTGCATAAGGATGTTGAAGAGCGAGAGGTTGATAATAAGTACGTTCAAGCAGACTGTGGAAAGTTTGATGTACTTAACCTCAACAAGACCAAGCATCATATATGTTGTTAGCATTATAAGTCGCGCTACATGGAGCATCCAACGGAGAAGTGTCTCGACACAGCAAAAAGAATGCTTTGATATGTGAGGAACTTTGGATTTTGGGGTATTCTACGAAAAAGGAGGTGACCCAAAGATGGTTGACTATACAAATAGCGGCTATGCAGGTGATATAGATGATTATAATGGCACTTTGGGAAGTTTTTTTATGATCGGGATCCGGAGTTATTTGTTAGTCTTCAAAGAAACAGCCTATTGTGACACTTTCAACTACCTAATCAGAGTTTGTGGTGACAATAGCATGCTCGTACCAAGGAATTTGGTTAAGAAAGATGCTTGAAATTCTTGATAAAAAAAAAACAATCAGGTTCTATTCTTATCTATTGTGATAATACGTCAACTATTAAGTTGTTTCAAAATCTTGTGTTGCATAGAAGGAGTAAGCACATTGATGTTCGGTTTCATTTCTTACATGGTTTGTGTGAAGAAGACACTGTTGAGCTCAAAATTTTGTAGACGTAATCAGCCGATCACAAACTTGTTCACAAAACTCTTGAAACAACTATTGTTTGAGAAGCCCAGATGGTGATGTGCATTATCCAAGATGTAGTTTAAGAAGATAAAGTGAAGTCTAAAATATTTTTATAGAATTCAAATTAAGAGAAGTGTTAAAAGAGTCACTTGGAAGTGTGCAACTTGTACTAAATATATTCATTAATTGATTCATGCATTTTTTTGTGCTTACTAATTAGTACATGCATTTTTTGTTACATGTATCAGGTTTATATATAAATCACGGTGAAAAATGTAGAATTTAATCCCGCATCCTTTCTAATAATACAAAGTTATCTTCTCCTAAAAAATCCTACCAAATTTCTCTATTACGACCAACATTATCGAAGATGTTTAGTTTGGTGGATGGTTTGGTAGAGTGAATTTTGATTCTGGAAAGTTTTTATCAATGTCATTTTAGTTAACGATATCTTTTAAAATACTCATTTTTCAAGAACAGGAGCTCCTCCGGGTACTTGCAAGAGTATTCCTACACCTAACACTGCTTCAATAAGCGGTAGCTTTACCGCCTCTGTTCAATTCTCAAAATACAAAATAGGCCCCGCATACGACGCGATCTGGTTCAATTATACAAAATGCTCCACCATATCATATTTGCTTTGAAACTGGTCTAGGATACTATGTAATTTCATTAAGGAAATTTGTTTCTTTGTCATTTTTATTGGACAAGAAAGATACAACCGTTGAATTATACTCGAATTATGTCATCTTATCAATGAAATATATTCTCTTAAGAAGAAATCCATTTGTCCTCTATATTTTCTTCTCTTTACTATATCTGTTATTATGGAGTTTCATCTCTGTCTCTCTATTTCAGGTTTCCTTGGAGTGTTTGGCATGAGTGGGTGTAATGCAATCATCTCCTATGGATTATATTGAACTATTGTCTTAATTGGACTAATGTCTCATTATAGCACCAATATTGCTGCCTACTATTGAAACCATCTCATGAAGAAGCCTGTTTGAGAGACTCAAAATATCAACTCATTCTGTTAATTCAAACTTAATATACATATTACACAACCGATGCTTTTTTTTCTCTTCGGTTACCAACCTAACGACCCAACTTTAGGTACCATGTCAACGGAAAAAGTTTCATTTACATAGCTCTTTCTATATATATATATATATATTAAATTTTTGTTCAATAAATTGACAACTTGAGTATAATTCAATTGATTTAGGTATATGTATTACCAACTTAGAGGTGAGAAGTTCATGGTTTTTCGATAAAACTATGATAGGCCAAAATTTTATGAAAATGACCGATACTAAATGTAAAATTTGGATCTAGAGAAATTACTGGAAAAATCTTAAGATTGAGGAACCAAAGAAATGTAAATACATTTAGCCCCAAATAAGAAAGCATAGTTTTTACATACCCTTATTATATTTACTTGAGGAGAAAATAGTTCAGTTTTAGATGAACTGGAAGAATCATTGGCAGCTTATTGGGGGTGGAATAAGGAAAAATACAAGGATGAAGACATACGTAAAATGGAAGCTTTACAGGATATAATATTAGAGAGCATATTTCATACGACTGGCCACATAGAATTTAGAAGCAGACTTCTTGATTTTATTTGAAGTGATGGACTTATGGCCACCAAACCAATGAAGCAGTCTACAGGTACCCTCATTCCCCAGGCATTTATCGACTCGAGTTTGCGACATTTACTTACAAGAATAAGAAGTCCACTCTCCGTTACATGGCGACAGCTCCACAGGACAATGCTCTGCAGAAAGGGAGGAAGAAATGCAGTGATTAAAGATTGTGCAAGTCATGAATGGTGTGAGTTTCTTAGAATGTTCACCTTCAAATTTGGACAGTTATCCGCAATTGCAAGTAGAGAGACATCTGTGACAAAGGTGCCACCGACATTCAGGTTTTGCAACGAGTTGGCTCTGGAAATCTGGGAACACAGCCAAATGAAAAATGTTAATGAACCATGTACGACATCAGAACGTGGAAAGTGGATGCGAGGACCCTGATGGGGGATCACTCCAAAAGATCAACCAAACCTAGCCCAACCTACTTAAACAACCTAAAGGCTTGGTCCAGTCTGTAGGAAGAAAAAGTCGACCTTGAAGAGAAGCGGATAAGAGAAGTAGTCTATAGACACAAGCAATCAGCTCGGTAATAACCGTTGAGGATTATTGGGAGGGAGTCCCACATTGGCTAATTTAGGGAAGGATCCTGGGTTTATAAGTCACGAATAGATCTCCATTGATATGACGAGGCCTTTTGGGGAAACTCAAAGCAAAGCCACGAAAGCTTATGCTCAAAGTGGACAATATCATACCATTGTGAGGTCCGTGATTCCTAACAATAACCTCAACCTTCAAAAAGGTTCCAGAAGCAGAGAATACAAAATGATGTCTAAAACTGCCTCCTAAATAACTTCAGGACAATGATTTCTTAAATTGTTGTTTACTTTTCGAAGATAGACACTAGAAGATCCAAAATAAGTAAGAAAATACTGAAAACATATTAGTGCAAAGATCAATGAAGATAGAAACAACAAATATCCTACTCAATTTCCACCTAACTCATACTCTGATTCACACGTTGAGGCCAATTTCAAGGGCTATATATGCAGGCATGTTTGAAGTAAAGATAAGATATTACGATACCAGCTGCACAACCCCCTTGTCGGTGATCCCTGCCATGCCCCATAGCGAAATGGACGTGAGGTTGGGAATGCAGTTTGCAAGAGAGATTTGGTGCAATCCACGGTCTGTTATTTGGCTACCCCAACGGCTTCTTGAGCTGAAAAAGCACAAATTACAACAGAATCATGGGCTAGAACATTGCTCGACTAGACACTAGAACAATGAAGGCAGCCATAGCCATAACCATAACCATCAAGAATCTAACAAAGCTTTATAAAAACAATTTTAGAGAACTTTCTCCAGCATTTCCTGAAGACTCCAATCTTTAGAGAAACATCTGTTTTGTGGTTCATAATCAAATTGCCTGACTAATGATAAACAGACAATGGAAACAGAAAGCGGATTTAAGTGATTATCCTGCGATTTTGAAAAACTCGTTTCATCATTCTAGAGAGAGAGAGAGAGAGAGAGAGAGAGAGAGAGAGAGAGAGGGAGAGGGATTACATGTCGAGGTCTCGAAGACTGTAGGCATGGCAAATAAGACGAGCAGTGGAGTCATCATCCATCTTCCAACCAGCAAAGCTCAAACTCTCCTTCCTACCAAGAGAGAGTTTAACTCCTTCCTTCCATTTCCGACAAACGCCGCACGCCCTGCGTTTTTCCGGAAAATTTTCCGCAGAAACCCCCAAACTTAGGAACAAGAACAAAAGCAATTGAACAAAAGAGATTCATAAAGAAAACCGAAATTAACATCAATTACTGAGCCAAATCGGTGAAGGACGTGATCATCGCAAAAATATGAGCGAGTAGGTCAATCGGCAAACGATCAATCTCCGGTTCGAACTCCATCCCTACCGCCCAAACATCAGCCGAATCCATTCTTCTCCTCCCCTCTCCTCTGCGCATATCAATTTGGAAGAAGAAGTCTGTGGGGTCGTATGCCATGGCAGAAGAGAACCATAAAAAAGCAGGTGGAAGATTCCACAGAAGGAGAAAGAGAAAAAGTCAGAAAGGATGTTGACATCATACCGCCATGATTTCAAGATTCTGACCTCCAAAAATATCCAAAATATTTAGGTAACTTTTATCAGTTTCCATGGAATCTAGGAGCCCGCCAGCAGGGCGTTCTCATCTCATCCTCTCCCGCATGAACTTCGCTGTATGGATCACCCATTCAACCGATCGTAGAAATTTCGTGAACCAATTGAACAAGTAACTTCTGATCCTTCGTGTCTCATACTTCCCTAAATTAAGAAAAATACTATAATATTTCAAGAGTTTTATAGATAAAACTTCTTTTTTTTTTTTTAATGTCATTACTTTTAAATATATATATATATTAAAATATCTTTATAGCTATTAAATATATAGATATAATATATATATATATAACTGTTACTTTTTCCTTACTATCAACTTTTAAAAAAATATTCATAAAGTTTCAAAATTAGTATTTAATCATTTAAAAAAATTTAATTTTTTTTACTATTACTGTATGGATACAAATTATTTATCTATACTTCTTAGGTCAATTTTTTTTTAATTTATTTATTTATTTATTTGTGAATCTCATCCCCGTTATTTGATCCAACTTAATTGTAACTAACCTCGATTTCAATTATCTAAAGTAGCTATTGTCATCATAGCATAATTATTTCTATACAAAAATAAATGTTTAAACTTCTTCATAAGACATAAACTTCATGTTAAAATATTATCATCGACGTATGTGTTCGAAAACATCTTTAAGACGATACAACGAAATAATAAATGAAGTAAAAAAACATTTAAATTAAATACATCCGGTTCTAACCTAAGTCTAAGAAAAATAAATGCAACTATCCTATGCATGTGGCATGGTCTAGCGATGTGATGCGCTCGTCAGCCATTCACCTGTGTCTTGCTTTTACCTGAAATAGAAGTAGTACGTGGTTTGAGTATTTTAGAAATACTCAATAAGTAACCGCCTATCAAAGTTAAATGCAAACACGTACAATTCATGAGTGTGACCTATCATAATAGTCTATTTTTCTACTGCAACTATCTTAAGTGGCAATTGGGTGTGTACTTAATTTCCCTACACACGATTCATATGTGCGTGTATGGACCCACCAGTCAATTTTGCATACCTCCTAGGCCCCTTTCTGGTCAGGCAAGCATTCTTTAGTAGATATTGATGTCGCACACTTGTTGGGAATAGCGACCTTCATGGCAGCATTATGGTAAAAATAATGATCGTTTTCATGCCTCATATCGTAAGAGGAGAAAGGGTATCTCCCGATGCATGAACACACAATAATGCATAAGGTCCCAAAATTTTTTCATTTTCAATATCATATACGACAACCCCGCTAGCGTCTTACTTCATATCATATCATTTTTGTCATATCATTTATCATATCTTTCATGCGTGTATCGTGGTTGTTTTTCATGTCAATGCATCATTTTGCATGTCAATCATATCATATATCATTCATGTTACACATATATCATATCATAATGTTTTCATGCCTTCATATGTAACAATTCACATCATGCACATATCATACATATATCATAATAGTCACATAACATATCTTGAGCATGCCTCAAGATATCATATCATATCATAAACATATCAATTCATAACAGTTTGCATATACAGTCATATGACACATGTGAAGCCACAAGCACATGTCATCATACAACACACAATTATAACCAAACCGATGGTAGGACCACTTACTTCGTTGACCTAGGCCAAAGCTACTACGACCTCTTCATGCTAGCTTAATGTTGTTCTCTGAAATTTAATTCTCTTATGGAAATTGGCTCACCTAGTTTTGCATAAAATAATTTAAACTTGTTTCTAATAATTTAAACTAGCTAAGCCTAATTTTGCATAAAATAATTTAAACTTATTTCTATGATATAAACCAGATAAGTCTAATTATGTATAAATACTTTTAAACTTCACTAAAAAAAAAATTAAACTAACTAAATAATTTTGTATAAAATAATTTAAACTTAAACTAGATAAGTCTAATTATACATAAATACTTCAGCTAAAAAACTTAAACTAGCTAAAAGATTTTAAACTTGACTCAAAAAATTTAAACTAGTAAAAGGTAGTTGTACTAACCTTAAACGCTTCCGAGGAATTGAAACTAGGAGAAAGAGTTCGAGCATATCAAATCTAAGCTAGATCGGCCAAAATTCCAGACTCGAGCCACAAGAAAGTATATACTAAGACTGGCTTCCCCACTTCTCAGTCTTAAAGCCACTTTGGGGACTTAGTAGGCATTTTAAGAAAATATCTAAAACAATGTCGAATGGGTCGAGGAAGAAGATGATCAGCGCATGGGGTTCACGCACACGTGGCATCACAATCACACTCTTACAGTAACGGGACAACAATTGTGCGACCCTTGTTTTAATCCAGTGGACAAGTTAGCCGTGTAAAAATCGTACTTCACAAACAATTCCAACATATGGTCGAGTTTTGAGTTATATTTTAGAGGAAATATTTTATAAAACATAAGTGGGGAAATTATTTGAAAACAAGCTAGTAAATGTCCATCCATGTGGGTAATGCCACCCTATAATCAGGTTGTAAGAATTTAGGTTACTCACGTGGATTATTGGGTGAATATTCATCCATGTGGGTAATGCCACCCTATAAGATATAGACCCAATCTTCTCGAGAACTTCGACTGATCCTTCATACTTTCTATCTTTAGTCCTTTAGGCTGAGACATTAGATTTTCTCTATCCTACTGAAACTTGAGGGTAAGGCACTTCTTGTCCACCAACTTTTTTCATGTGTTTGAAAACTTTTTCTACATAAGCTTGAGTTGAGTCTATTGTCGGATTCTATTCCATCGTGAAGCTTTTGACTAGAGGATTCTTCCTTGCATATAGAAGGTCAGTAATATCGGTAGGAATGTTTTTCTTCCACTCACAATTTCGAAGAGGCTCCTCCCAATAGACGAACTAGTTTGACAATAAAACAAAACTGGGCCACATCTAGAAGTTGAAGACAATTTTTGTGATGAGTGTCAACAAAGTGACACAAGTATTCTTCAACCAAATACTTAAATCACTCTATTTTTCTATGAGTCTAGGAGTGTTAGCTTTTTTTTTTTTTTTTCTTTCTTCACTTCAAATTAATTGATTGATGTTTTGATGATAATAAACTTACACTCAATTATTAACGATGATCAGTATTTTGAATTGTCTGTAAGGTTGGGAATAACGATTTCAACGCCTTTTTCAATCACTTAAATCATAGCTAGAGCGAATTGAAGTCGAATCAAGATATCCGACATGAAGATGTGGCAGCAAAATTGACATCATGAACTATAACACTGGTAAGAGTTTGCTTTTAAATAGAAATAAAATTATATTATGAATATTTTTATGACCAACCAAACTGTTACATTCACATTATTTTTATTAATATTATTATTATATTTAAAAAATAATAATAATAATAAAGAATTTGAGATTTTTAATATTAACTCTAAAAAATAATAATTAAATAAAATAAATTTTTTTGGTCCACTTTCACGTAATCTACTTTTAAATGATTTACCTTCTATTTCTCTTTCAACTATTAGTCTATCTTTTTATTTCACTTTCAACAATAATTATAAAGATACTTTAAAAGGTTGACTTTTACTCCTTGTAAATATAAAAATACTTTTATGTTTTACTTTTTAATTTTCTTTTAACAATAAATTTAAAAGAAATATTTTATGTCCATATTTTGACACTTTCTCTAGACGGATGGTTGTGATTGATTAAATGGTAAATCTACTCTTTAGAGAGTTGTGATGTGTTCCTACAAAATTCAGACACTTGTACCAGTTTGATCCTGAGTCATGGAAAGGATTGAGTTTACTCTTGAACTCGTAAAAATAGTAGGGTAGCGATTGGTCTGATCCGAGGAAAGAGTCGATAAAGATTTATTCAAATTCCCAATAGGCGTTTGGAGAGTAGAGTAGGTTGAGTTTGATTGAACCACTATAAAACTACGGTCATATTTTTTTTAACTCTTTCATATTTAATTTCGAAATTATTATTATGATTTATTGCATGATCCAAGTCTTTTTTATAATAGTTTATGGTTATTTCTTGAGTTATTTTATTGTATTAATTATCCTCTTATACTCATTTAAAAAAATCATAATGAGAAAAATTAATCGCTTAAATACTTTTATGGTTAAAACCATATTCACCTCTTTATGGTTGCCATACCGATCCAATATTAGCTTGAGGAAATATTTAAGGTTGTCTCCAAGAACATGAACAATTTTGTCCATAATGTCCTGATGAATCTGTTGTCTCTGTCACTAATGATACTTGGCAGAATGCCCAACAATTTTAAAGTATGTTTAAAGAAGAATTGGATTATCAACTCAACCGATTATATTTTGGGTGTTGAAACAAAGGTGGCATATTTTGAGAATCGATCTACTATAACCAAGATGACTTCATGTTCATTTACCTTCGGGAGGTGTATGATAGAAGTCTAGCTATACACTTTTTCAAAGTCTTGTCAACACTAGTAAAGATTCAAGGAGCCCCAAGACCTTGGGTTTTACAACTTCATGTTGTTGGCAAATGAGGCACGTCTTGGCATACTACATTATGTCGTCTCGCATATTAGGTCAAAAGTATTCTTTCTTCATCATGCATACGTTTATTGCCACCCTGGGTGACTGACCCATAGGATATTATAACATTCGTGGATAAGTTTCTTCCTTAGTTTTATCGTTTTTTTTGGAGATATGACCTGTTTTCTTTTGTCAGATGTACGTTCCCTTCCATCCAAAATTATCTAATCTCCCCAACTCTAGCTAGATCAATAACAACTTTGGCGGAAGGATTTTTTTGCTAGTGATCTCGTGTGTCATGCATCGATTTGTCGATCTTATTCGAATGAGTGTGGGCTAACATTTGCAAGGTTGCATGTTGACACTTCTGACTAAGGGCGACGACAACTTAATTGCTTTTCCTATTTTATGTTTGAAATTTGCAGTCAAATTCAGCTAACGATTCTTGCCACCGAGGTTGCTTTAACGTCAATTTTGTTGGTCAAAAAAAGTGAAAAATGGCACTATTGTCCATCCTCCACAAGTGTGATCCCAATGACAACTAACATTTCTTTTTCGAAGACCATATACCTCCTATCA